TTGCGCGTCTTTATGCTGCTCCACGTCATTTATTAAAAAGTGTGCTGGTGACGAGTTTACTCGCCATGTAAGATTGAAAACTTTCTGATGAAGCGTGCAATATGAGGAGGGCTCGCAAAACTATGTGGCCCAGTCTAGTGTTTGAAGAGCCAGCAACGAATCATGCAACGCCGTGGCATCGCGAACCTCATGATTTGTGTACCCCATCTTGAAAAAGAAGTACTGGTTGAAACTCTCACGTGGCTTCGGCACGCGCATGCATCACAGCCGACGGCCTTCTCTTTAAACTTCTGACCTCCCGCTGTCCTTCCAACCTGCTTACGCCGATCATTTCTGGACAGATCCTTGCGCTGACCTGCGCGCCACCTGACCTGACCTGACCTCCACAGAAGGGCCACGCAGTCCTGCCGTCGACGCGTGTTCAAGTCGGCGGCGGCCAGCTGGTGTTCACGCGCCTCGTCGAGTCGGACGCCGACGTCTACATCTGCGTGGCCGCTAACGTCTTCGGCTCGGCCAATCACAGCTTGACGCTGCGTACGACAGGTGGGCCTGAACACGCCGCCAGGTGGCTCGCCGATCGGGCCATTGATCACGGCTAGTCGCTTCCTTTCCTGTTACCACGCCGCTGTCGCCGCAGGTCGCGATGCACTGAGCCACCGGCTATGGCGACGACGGAACGAAATTGATTGCGTGATTACAGCACGCCGCGTTGTAATGAGTTTGCGCTGTTATCGCGACCGATGGGTTTTATGATGCTGTCCCTATTGATTTACTGCTGACCGTGTAAATGATTGCTTTTCTCATGGCCGGCCGCCTGTACTACACGGGACGTCGTGCATTATTGCGCAGCCGGGAGCGACAAAACGGTCGTAACGGCGGGCGACAGCTGCCCCGCTGACGGCGTATTGACGTGCCGCGACACTGTCGCGACCGCCGCAGCCAGCTGACGCCCCGCTCGGGCCCGGTTTACAGAGCCCGTGTCGCCAGACCCCGTGTTCCTCGGAGCACCGACCAACACCACTGTGTACGAGGGCGACACTGCCGTCATGCAGTGTCGCGTGCAGAGTATCTCCAAGGCGCACATCAAGGTGGGTTGCCGGGCAGCAGACTGGTGCGAGAGGACAGCGCTGTCGACGCGCGGGAAAGTGACAAGACGTTTGGATGTCGCGTGGCATGAGCCCTTATCACAGCCGCTGAGCAGATATGGGTGACGTAAATTTGTAAACGCCATCCCACAAACGAGCTGGCATCCCTTTGCGTCGTATCTTTCAGACTTACCATCACTGAAATGGCGTCCCATTTAAACGACGTAGCCAAACCGGCTGCCCGGTCGCCAACAGCCGGTCGTGGACCATCGGACCGCCGCGCGCGAATACGTCCGCCCGGCTGGTATATTGACGGCTCCAGCGGCGTGCAAATTGGCGGCTGGGTTTAATGAGCTTCATCTCTTCGAATCTGGGTCTCGTGCGTCTCAATTAGCCGCGACGCGGCCGACGCCCCGACGTGATCGACGTTCGGGTCGCGGCGAGGATGGCTTCCACAAAATGAGGCTCCTGCTGAATACAATGACGCCGGACAATTTATTGGCGGTCGGCTTCGCCGGGTCGGCGTAAGATGGCGTCGTTTGATTTGATTCACGCCACGGCGGCGACAGTGGCACGTCAGAGCGGCACGGCCAGCCGGCGCCGTCCATCGTCGCTGCCACGCGATGTGACGGTGCAGGGCCGCCACCCCGGGTCCGCCGCGCTGGAGCGTCGCCGCAGCTGGCCGTCGGCATGCCCAGTGGTCGCGTTGTCAGTGGTCTGACTGGCAATGGATAAGGAAAACCCAGATAGGAAAGACATGCGGGCATTGTCTACGGCAAAGCACACGCTCAAGCGACTGTTGCTGGCGAGCGTCTTAAACCCATCGATGGTGGCAACTGTTTGCTGAGAAGCCCATACTCAAACAACCATTGTTTGGGAGAATGTTTCAAACTCGTAACCACCCAGTCCGTAAATATTTGGAGAATAGATCCCACCTCGGCGCGCAAAAACCGCACCTGTCTCACCTGCCACGCGACGTAACATCGCCGTGTCCCTCCCACAGTGGGTGCGCAAGATCGGGCCCAGCGCCGGACCGGCGCTCAACCAGACCCTGGTGGAAATCCAGGGCGTGCGATACGCAGTCATCTCCGGCGCGCACACCGTCCAAGACGGCCACAGCTACTTCACCAAGCTGACGCTGCGCTCGGTCGTGCCCAGCCAGGAGGGCGTCTACGTCTGCATGGCCGCCAACGACAACGGCTTCGCCGGCCGGGAGGCGTTCCTGCACGTGGCGCCCGGTAAGGCGGCCAGGGAGTGCGGGCCAAGCTGGACAGACTGTCCTTAAAAAACGAGCAGAAAAAAAACATCTCAAGCAGCTAATGATGCCACTTTAGTAGAAGCGGATGCTGTGGATCTCTTCGTTTCTGAACCACGTCATGCTCCTATGCGACCTAATCTTTGCCGTGATGACCCATGCCTTATGGGACTCTCCTCGCTGCTCCACATTTGCGTTATTTCAGCACGACTCCTATGGGCTTCGAAAGGGAAGAAACTGGCTTGGTTTGGTTTTGTATTAGAGCCCTTTCGGCCAGAAATGATTATTTCAGTGCTATGGGATGAAGGGAAAGGGTTAACGGTGGTGCAGGCTTGCATGCGCCTGAGGGCCACCCGCCATGCCTTAACCCGCGCATGCGCGCTGTGTACCCAGTCGGGGTTCCCCCTCCCACAGGGCTATCGGCCCACACGTGGCTGATGTATGCAACCTCCCCCGGACAGGCGGGGTGTAGCGAGGATGCATGGTGAAGCAAGAAAGAGGATAAGAGGGACGGATGAGAAACTTGCTCAAGCTGTTTTCCCCACTCAGCTTTTGACAGTGGCGAAAACCCTACTCATCCACATCCCCATCAATCCTGCCAATACAATGGCAGTATTGCAACGCACACAATCGACCCTGGCGCCTGCCGCCGTCGTTATGGCACGCTGACTACGACGCTGTCGGTTCCAGCGCCGCCGGACTCAATGCAGGCGTTGCTGATCGCGCTGCCGGCCGTCGCCGTCGTCGGCTTCGTGCTGGGCGCCATCTGCTGCCTGCACCGGCGCCGCAAGACGCTACCGCCGCCTAGCGACAACAAACACAAACAGTACGCGCCGAGCCTGCCGCCGGGCGGCGCGCGGCCCAACTACGTGACGCAGCGATACGCTGCCGACGGCGACCGCGCCGTGCGAACAGTGCTGATGCCGCCGGGCCAGCTGTGTGTGGACGGCGGCAGTCTCTCGCGGACGCACGTGCCGCCGCCGGCGCCCTACGACTACCGCCAGTTCCGCCACCTGGACGTGGTGTGATGGGCGCCAGCGGATGGCGCGAGATGTGATCGGACGCTCGGCGAACCGTGCGAGACGCGGGAGACGGGACCGTGCGAAGTGACCTGGACGCTGCGACGAGCGCTGGACTCCCGCCGGCCACGCCCGATGCTGTTTTGTACCCTTGACTCTGTGAGGACCCTTCGCGCTTACCGCCGCCGGGGCGGTGTTGTTTCGCGCCTGTGGCGCAGGTGCCCGCGGCCGCGCGGGCCTCGATTGTCGCCGCGCCCTGCGCGTGAGCTTCGCATCTAGTCATGTGTGTAGCGGGCCACGAGCGGGCCCTTGTCTGTACTGCCAACCGTGTCAAGTGCGCTGCCAACCGTCGGCGATGTATTCGATATGTTACGTCGTCCCACGCACCTGCAGTTACAGCAACGATTTTATTTATATCATTCCTCGGAGAGCACAGTAATACAGATCTATAGCTGATTTAGTGTTTCCTTGAAGCATCATTATGCGGGAAAAGAACACCCGCGACTGATTAACTGTATCACATCATAGGGCACACACCAGCAACAGCAATCACAGGGACTAGGAGTTCCCACCACGTCGGCCATTTCCCACCCGTCGCCCCAGACAGCCGCTAGAGCAAGGGTCACACCATTTCGGCAGCGGGCCGCAGCAGCCGAGCCTCGCCGGCAGTCACGCTGACTGCAGAGAGGCGGATGGGCCCCGCGGCCCGCGCGCGGGGCCAGCCGCTGCCACCGCGCCCGGTGACCGGCAGTGTCCGGGGCGCGGCAAGGCACGGCGAGTTCGTCGAGATTCGGCAGCGCCCCGAGGCGCGGCCGCCGCACGCCCTGGCGGACGGCCGACGAAGCAGAGTTGTGCGTCGGATCACATGAGGGCGCGCCGATCGCGCGCCGGAAGCCACGGCGGGCAGGCGGGCGCGCGCGGTCCGCGCGGAACGCCTCTACTAAGCACACGATCACGCACACGCACCCGTCCACGCACACGCAGGCACAACAGCCGAGTGGCGCGCGACGCCAGCGAGCCGGCGACGGCCCCCTCGACACATCCACCCATCCGCCGACCACACATCTCCCAGCGAGCCACGCACGGGATTCGGTCTCGCACGCCCGCCGACGACTCGGCCGCAACGCTTCCCCGCACATCCCGGTGGACGGCAGCGCCCGGCCACCGCCGCGATCCGTCATCGCGGCATCTCGGTCGGATAGTCGCGGTCAAGTCGGTGAGGGGCCGGAGGGCGCCGCATCGCCCGCACTCAATTAAGACGACCTCTCGCGGCGCCGGATAGAGTAGCGCCGGGCCGACACGGCCCAGCTTCGCGGCGCGACTGATCGCTCCCGGTGCCCCTCTCCCGGCTCCGCCCTGGCGCAGCGTCCTAGTGTGCGGACGGCTCGGCCTGGCGACCGTCAACGGCGGCCGGGCGGGGCGGCTTCCTCTGGCCGCGCATGCCGACCAGCCGGCCGGCGGCCGGCGCCACCACGCCCGCCAGGCCGGCGGCGCGCAACTGCGGGGCGCCGCGGCCCGGCCGCGCCGCCGGCGCGCGCGCCACCGCCACCGGCCGCGCCGCCGCCGCCGTCGCCGCCGCCGCCGCCGCCGTCACCGGCTGGGCCGGACTGGCGGCCGGCGGAGAGACGCGCGCCGAGGCGCCGCTGGCAGCGGCCGACCGCGCCGCTGGACCGCTCGTCTTCTGGTCTGGGGCGGCAGCGCGCGGCGGCGGATCAGCTATCGACACGGCCTCCACCGACTCGGACAGTGTCGACAACACGATCTCCTGAAAGACGGCGCAGAAGTTTTAGTTGTTAATTTGTGTTTCTTTGATTTAATGAAGTAAAGCATGAAGAACCGTTCTCCAAAACGCTCTGGTGAGTGATATTAAATGCTTCCCAACGGCTTGTTCGCGATGACATGCCGGTTCACGTTACATGACTTTCCATGAGAATTTCCAGGGCAGTGCGTAGACCATGTAATGGCTCAGATCAAAATAACGAGGCACCAGATTCTTTCCGACGTCAGGCCAGCGCCTTCCCCGAGCCTGTCCTGCCCCGTTGTATGATTCGCCCCCCGGTTCGTGACGACACTCGCCACGACGGTCGCAGGGCAACCATATCGACAGAGGAGAAAAGAGAGCCCAAACTGGACAGACTGGCGGCCGACCCCACTGGCGGAGAGTCGGCTCCAATCATAACTCATCAGTGCCACAATGTCACTAGCCAAACATTGATACATGCGCACGAACTGATGATTTCCAGAACGCGCTCCGATATAACAAGCATTAGTTTCAAAGCATCCACACAATTAATGTTCTCCATAAGTTTCAGCAACTTTAACGACAAACCTTGCCTGTTCCCGACCAGATCCCCTGCATTACACGGATCGCCCCACCTGACACCTGCTAAGAACGCAACAAAGCCCCCTCGGCTTCACAGTCTTCCGCCCCGGGTCGGCCCCCTCCCCCGTCCTCGGCCGCCGGTCTAACCTGCACGAACGCGCTCCGGTCAGCTCTGCCCAGCTGTCGCTCGCCTTGCGTCATCTCGTCCTCGTCCAGCACGCTGCAACGGCAGACGGCGTCAGCGGCGGACGCGGACGGCCGGACCGCGCGCAGAACGCGTCATCACACGGACGTCCTGTCAGGACGCCGCCTGGCGACGCGGCACGAAGCCGCGAGCGCCTCACCACCGACTGGTCACGCGTTACCGAAGGCGGCGGCCGGTAACTATCTGCGACCCACGTCGCTGAAGGCGGGCCCGCCGGCACGAAGACAGTTCATGTTATATACCGGCGTGTCCTCGTAGCAACTTGTGATAATTACAGCGAAAACGACGTCATTCCTAACAACTACCGACGAACCGCGTGCCACCCCCGCGGCGGGCCGGGCCGCCCCTCCTGCCCGCCCTCGCCACCCGCCGCCGGCCTGACCTGGCCAGCAGGAACTGCGAGCGTCCGGTGTCGGCGTCGCCGTTCTGTTGGGCGGCGGACGGTGCCGGGCGGCGCGGTGCGGCGGGTGGCGGCCGCCTCGGGCCGGCGGGGCGCCGCCGCCTGCGGCCGGAGCGCCTGAGCCGGGCGCCGCCTGGCGGCGTGGCGGCCGCTCGCTCCGCTGTCTCACCGCCTGCGCCTGTCGCACAGGGAGCAGTCATAGGGCTGGGTACAAAGAGGGCAGCCTGGAGACGCACGGGCTACAGGGGCGCGGCCGACGCCGGCCGATGGGAGACAGATGCAGGGTGTGAGAGTGCCATAGACCCGCGCGGGTGGAGGACGTAAGCTTAAAAATGGCTGGAAGGATGTCGAACACACAATAGATGGCATCGCCGCCAGTAATGTAAGGCACATGACCAGGATTAAAAAAAGACGGTTAGAAAAAGTTCTGGGGCGGGAATGCGAGAGAGCACGTTACGGGATGAGCATTCTACCGTTACTTCCAATGCCATACGAAAGAGTGATGCCGGCGTTCATTATGGGCAGGCGCTGCCTCCTCCTCCCCCAGCTCGTGTTAAATAACTATTACTGCCGAATGCATGTCAGCCACGACCTGATACACCCATGGGAAATACGCAAACAAATCATCGAGCATGAGGACACCGGCAAGCAGCGGGCCACGTGCCGACACGCTGTGACGGGAAGGGCAGAAATCAATACATTGTCGAGTCTGCATTTGTTTGACTTAAGGGAAACACGCTACCTTTTTGCACTTTTTTATTGCTTGACCAGATGCCTTTGATTTGATCAAAACAACCAGTTTCCTCGAAACACTTCTGAATCGCTGATAATGTCAATTCGAAGTAGCCGCTCCCGCAGGAGAAATCTCACTGGATTCCCTGCTCACCACTATGAAAGCGATGCATTTAAGTTGCCTTGCTTTTTCTGTGCATCTTATGTTATGCTCGCAACACATTTATCTGCCGAAATGCTTTTGTAATGCATGCTAGGGAAGCTTGGATCACTCCGTGATGAAAAAAATATGCAAACATGAGGCTATTGTCCAGCGCATTGAAACGAAACGTTATACTACGACTTTAATTTCTCCCCTATGGTGTTTACCCCCCCCCCCCCCCCGGCTTTTTTCGAGGCGCACTTCGGCTTTGGAAACCAGAGTCAAACGATGCACTTCCTGGTAGCTGGCCCTTGCCCCCCGTCGTGCCAATCACGAACGTTGATTGGTACTGACGTTATCCATATACCGTACCATATCCATACCCGTAGATGTGCCATTTTTAAGCCCGCAGGCCCGCAGTGCGCGGGTTAAAACAGCTCAACAGCGATACCTCTAACCCGTAACAGCCGACAACGGCCCACAGCAAATACTGCCGTCGCCATGACGATGTGGGATGTCGTGACGGCGGCGGTCGTGACAACTGCAGTTGTCTCGGACAGGGGGTACGCTCCGGAGCTACCACGAAAGGAAGAAGTGTAGCGTCGTTGCAAAGCGTTGGCAGCGTAATTTTGACTACAAAATCATTAAAATGTAGATCCTTATTATATTTTGATGATACAGCAGTGGCACTACGGAATGCTTTAAATATTCTCGAAAGGTGGGACGCTCCCTTTATTGCCGCCAGGAAAGCGTTAAAATCGCAGGAAGTTGTTGGAAGTATCATGCACGCCAACAACTTTCTTACGCGCTATCAGCACGGAAGGCATTCAGCCCCTGGTTTTGCAGCATGAGTTCAGACGCCTTATCCTGACTCATCGACCTCCAACATACCAGACGGTACTGGTTAAACGACTCTATATGTTCAACGTGGCCGAGAACTGGCCTCCACAGTTCGTGGTGGCTATTACTGCTGACTGGACCCATGGCATGAGCTCACTGCTAGATCTTTTCAAATATCAACACAATCTCAGCGTTTCTTTCACTCTGGATCACACCGCGCAAAACGTGTCGATTCTATTCATCGACGCCCTTTAGTGGTGCGGCAAGATGAAAGCTATTTCACAGAACTCTACTTAAAACCCGTGGACGCCCGGTCATGCTACGTTACAATGCGGCACTCATGGCTGCTATGAATACGGTTTGTATATCTCAAATGAGGACAGCGCTGCGCGTACCGTCTGATCAACGACCATGTGATCGCGGTCCAACTGTCCCTTCTTTTCCATGGTAATGAATAGCAGGAACAACGAGCTGAGGTCTTATGCTTGTGCCGCACGCTCTCCGTTTAACTACATCATACTAGCGAAGAACTACAGAATTGCTAGCCAAACAAGACAAACTATGGATATGTGACGCTCCCTTTTATAGATAGCGAGCTGTGGAAATAGGCCAATGCCACCGTACCATCCGGTGTCTTGCACGGCCTTGGTAGCGTGAGCTTAAGGTCCCAATTTAAAGTCAATGTTAACACCAGCGCTAGCGATCCCAACGTGTCCAGCTGGGAGTAAGAGTTGTCATAAATGAGGTAATAGACTGAAAGAAAAACGCACGCGAAAAAAATGTAGCATATAACATTGCCTGCAACCTATGCCTAAAATATTCATATTTTTTGGCAACAGCTTAGGAAAGCGCGGACCTCGAGAGTTCTTAGAACCGCAGCACATTCGTCACCTCTGTCCGACGTCCAGCACGCCACGGTCATCATATCTGGCTTTATCAGCTGCTTTGAGCAATCCTTTTGATGACGGTGTCCGCAAAAGTTCGGAGCATTTTCTGGATTTAAGTGCCCGTTTTTTCGTTCATTTGTTTTTTGCTTAACGTTTCTGAACCTTCCACTTGCGATCCTTGCGATCATAACTAAGGCTTGAAACGCCGAATACTGTAATTATGACCAATGTATGCTCTACAACATCGTTTCACAAATAACTCCTTTTATGTATATATATATATATATATATATATATATATATATATATATATATATATTCGCATGTGTATCACAGTATTTACTACGTTATTTGCTTTTTCGGTATAGTTCACGCCGGCTGGCGCTATTCTCCCAATCCCATGAAACGGCGCCCACCCTGAGAAACGCTTCCCACTCACACCGATTCCACATCCCATTGCGCCCACACCTGGTCAGGCCCGACACCGCCAGCGGCCGCCGCGGCGCCCGACTCGTCCGTACCTGCAGCTGCTGCAGTCTGGAGGCGGTACCCGAGCCGATGGTGCCGGCGCTGGGCGCGCCCGAGAGCGACGTGGCGGCGCGGCGCACCCCCGACAGCTGCGACAGCAGCTCCGTGATCGGGTCCATGGACTCCCTGCCAGGCGACGCCGCCGCCATCAGTCACGACGGCCCGCCACAAACGAGCGGAGCATCAGCACGGGCCGGCGCACGAGCAACGACCGGCAACGTGGCCCGGTATTACCGGCAAACGTATGCCTCCAGGACGACTTGGTTGGGCTGGCACGCCTCCAGAACAGCCTCTTAATCCGCTCGGCACGAGAGCGAAAAATGCGAACTATTACAACCATGCCAGGTGCGCTTTCAGCCCAGAGCTGCCCCATCATTCCAGCCTGCCTTCGTGACCCGTCAGCTGAAGTTGACGTTAACAGGCTCATGCGATAACTTATGACCATGGCTTGGGAACACTGGCGTGGAGTCGTCACATCCCACATGTGGCCACTACTAGATAAACACCAGCGGTTAGTGCTCGCTTCGCTCGTGAAAAGGCGACACCGCTGGTACTTGCAGTGCCGCCACCTGTGACGTAACATTGCACGTGCAAGTCTCACAGCAATCCGTGAACACGTCTGTGCTCTGCGTCTGGCTACAAAAACGCGTGCGAACAGACGTACGTTCAGAAATTAGAGAATTGGATAAACAAACAGCCAATAGCAAACCTGCTGGCACACACAAAGCTAGACACACAGTTTGTGTGCAGACCACGCTCCAGTTCAACGGGCCTACCCGCGGGCTGCATAAGGCAGTGACCGCCTGACCCCTCCGGCTGCGGGCGCACCTGAAATGTGTGTTGAAGCGGCGGATGCGCGGCGCGCCGCCCGTCTGGCCCGGGTGGGGAACGCGGCGCGCCGGCTGCCGGCCGGCCGACACCTGCTCGTCACCGAACGAGATGAGGTCTCGGGCCGGCACGCCGCCGCTGCCACCACCGCCGCCACCGCCGCCGCCGACGCCGCCGCCGCGTTGGTGGTCAACGCTTAGGTGTGTCGGCAGGTCTTCGGTCACGTGGTTCGGCTCACCACTGGGCACCGATGCGCAGACTGGACACACCTGCGAAACATGGGGAGACGTGACACTCCGTAGGCACGTCAGGGTCACACAAACGGAGCATGGGGGAGATGTGACACACTGTGGGCACGTCAGGGTCACACCGGTGGCACATGGGGAGGGGGGCGTGATACTGTGGGTACATCAGGGTCACACCTGCGGACCATGGAGGAGACCTGACACACTGTGGGTACGTCAGGGTCACGTCCAAAGATTGCAATCCGCACGATCCGAGAGCGTGGCAGCACAGGCGGAGCCGGTCACACGTTTCCGCGCGCCGCAAGCCAGGGAATGCAGAGTGTTTGCGGACGGAGGAGATCCGCATAAAATGGACCAGACAGGATCGCGCTTACGACTTACACCACCACTGAGGTGCATGCAAGATGGTCCAGGCATATACCCAACACATGGAGTGAGTTTGTTAGCATCAACCACGGCAGGCGGGCCGCATTAGCGCGGGCATAAACAACGCCAGCCGTCACGATATCGACGCAGTACCCCAACAAAGTTTCTAGAAATAGCAACAGCACTGGCCGACTTGACCTGCAACATGCAATCGGTAGAATGACGTGGTGGTTACTGGCATGCCCTCCTAGCCAAACAACGCCCGGCCAATATCAGCCCAGCCGGCTGCCGTGCCAGAACGCCAGCCGCTCGGCGTCTCAGCAGGCCCCAGTGCGCGCCGAGAACAGTATGACGTCATATACCCGGCCCCACCACACTTCATGCTAGTGACGTAGTCTAGGGGGCATAGGGGGAGGGGCCCTGACTCTCCCTCAGGCACGCATTTGTCTAGCAACGAAG